CATCAGGGACCCCCAGAGGCACGTTTCACGCCTTTCAGACGCCAGGAACCCAGGAACAGAAATTGTGTGACGTAATAAATCTACGGTGAGTTGGCATGCGGGAAGCGGTGGCCCGGCCCTCCTCCACCCCTTCCACAGCAGCTCCCCTGTACTTTGGGGGGTCCGGCTGTGGTCTCTGCCCCAGACGGTAGCCTTTCAGCCTCTTGGACACAGCAGGGAGCCTTTGGGGCGTCTACCTGGAGCCTCTGGTGCAGCAGCCGCTCCTGCTCGGCCAGGAGGGTCCTCCTCTCCTGCTCCATCTTGGCCATCAGCTGCTTCTTGTGCTCCTCAAAGCTCCTCTCCTTCTCCCGGGCCATTTGCTCGGCCCGTTCTTGCATCTCCCTCTGCAGCTGCGCCTCCCTCTGCGCGGCCTCCGCCCGGGCCTTCTCCACTGGAATTGGAAGCAAACAGGCCTGGAAGGGGCCACCCATTCTCCCAGCAAGGCCCTTCCTCCCCCGGCCAGTCCTCCAGAGGGGTGCACGCAGGGGGGTGACATGGCCCCCAGGGACACTCACTCACCTTCCAGCTCCTTCTCTTTCTCCTGGAGGGTCTGATCCGCCTGCAGGATGGACTGCGCTGTCTCCTCCTTGGAGGCCAGGAAGTCCTGCAGGGCCTTGGCAGCCTGAGGGAATATGGAAGGGGCTCGGTGATCAGAGATAGAACTTGCGAGGGAGGGAGGGAAAGAGGGAGGGAGGGGCTCCCGGCTGCCCTGCCTACCATGAGCCCCTTGTCCTCCGCCTGGTGGAACCACTCCACCACGCTCTGCCGGTCACTCAGGAATCGCTGGTAGCCCCCCGGCTGCAGGTAGTGCCCGCGCACAACGTTGTCCTCCACCTCCTGGTACAGCTCCATCAGGATGGCCTGGCAGCGGTCCAGAGAGGCCCCCTCGTTCCGCCGGCAGAGCTCCCCTAGCTTCCCCTGCAGCTGATCCTGTTGGCAGAAGCAGAGAGGGAGGGGTGGAGCATGCTCCCTAAGACCCCCATGCCCCCCCCACCTCGCCAGCCCCCTGTAAGTACCGCCAGCTGCTTCTGAAAGTGCTGGCCCTCATCCCTGAAGGCCCGGCCCATGAAGACCCGGAGGGCCTCCTCCTCGCAACAGCTATGGGCCACCAGCAGACTCGCCACATCCTCTGTGGGCAGCATCGGGCGCATCAGCTCCTCCATCTCGTCGTACCGCTGCACCGCCTCGCGCACAGCGGCCACGTTCTCCAACTGTGCCAGGGCCAGGACCGCGTTCTCGATGCAGGGCACCTCCTTGTTGCGAATGGCTCCCACGTAGCTCTCCGCCAGGGACGCCAGCACTGGGCAAGGGGGGGGGGGAGACACACAGCTCTGGTGCCAATCCCGTCCAAATGAGAGCCAGCCTCCCCACCATGCCCCTCAATTTATTTATTTA